ACTCTAAAATCCAAAATTGTCCATGTGGATGGCTGAGATAGTGACACCTTTCCTTTCTGACAGTTGCCCAAGATCACAGCATAGTCTGTTTGGTATCTTTATGAATCTGTAACTTTACTGCAGAAATGCAATATGTAAAACCTGTCAGTGAATTGCAGAGATGTGCATCGAACACCTGCATCAAAGTTGCGGTTGTGTGTCAGCGCTTCCTAGTTCACCAGCTGGATGGGCATCGGTGTCAGTTGGGCATCAGGCACTCCGACCTTGTGCATCTGGATGGCCGCACATTGCAACGCCTCTAGGTGAATAGAAATATTGCAAAACTACTCGATTCGATGCTGCGTGCACATAAGGCCATTTACAAAAGCGTTAAGTCCCCAGCAGATTGCTCACCCTAGTCCTTGCTGATTAAAGATGGCTCTCTAGTTGTGGCTAGGTCTTTCCCAGTCCTGCTTGGAGATGGCAGGAACTGAACCTGGGACTTTTTGCATGCAAAGCAAGTGCCCTACCACTGAGTTAAGGCCCAGATCCAATGCACACTTAGTGTTTTCTTTTTCCTCCTCAAAACTTCAAGTAAGTTGCAAAAAAAAAAAAAAAAAGGGGGGGGGAACCAGTTTTGAAAATTTATTGCCCTTCCTTTCCCTTCCCTGATCACGCTCATTTTCCAGATTGCAACTCCACAGAGAGATCGAGAGATCATTTCTGAGACATGGCACAGCTGTATGTCAGCTGCATACTCAGTTCTCCCACACTCCTGTGTCTTTAAAGGGTTGATCAGATACATTGCAGCTGTTTGGTGGGTATGTATGTATGTATCTTTTAAAAATTAAAAAACCCAGAGAGCTGTTCCTGGTTTAGGTCTGCTCAAGCCCCTCTTTCTAGGTAAGAGCTGTTTTGTGGCCCTCAATCTCTCCCTTAGACTCCTGGATCAACCTTTTTCTTCCAGCCCCAAAATTGAACAAGCTCTTCTAGAAGTCTCTAGGAATAGCGGTTCACCTTTTAAATAGGTTGTGTGTGTCTGTGTATACACACACACACACACTTGAACCCTGTTTAATACTGGGAAAAAGATAATCCCAGTTTTTCAAAACCTGAAGTGAGTTTCTGTCCATGAGAGGGTTACCTTCGGGATTTCCATAAATTGGACATTACTTGAAAGCATACAGCAACAAAGATAACATTCTTGGCCAAAGTCCTCTAGAGAAATGGTTCCCAAACTTTGGTCTTCCAGATGTTCTGGACTTCAGCTCCCAGGATTCCTGGCAGTTGGTTCATGCTGGCTAGGGCTTCCGGGAGTTGAAGTCCAAGACACCTGCAAGACCAAAGTTTGGGAATCACTGCTCTAAATCCTCACCATACTACACATCCCAGGATCCCAGAGGATGCAGTTACACTGGAATCACAGTGCTGTGATTGGCATGAAAAGGCCTCAGGTTTGCTAGATAAATGGTGAAAATTTCAATTTATTGCGCCTTATCCTGCTTTTTCCCACAGTCGCCCCACAGCCCTGCATTTTTATCTTCATGAGATATAGTGTGATATGTTTGTTCAATTACTATTTAATGCCCACAGCCTACCATGAGCTCAAGGTAGTCTACATGGCTCCCATCTCACCCTCTCTTCACAACAGCCCTGTGAGGTAGTCCAGGACAAGAGGGGGGGAGTAACTGGCCCAAAGTGGAGTTTATGATGGAGTAGGGACTTGAACCTTGGCTCTCCAAGTCCCAGTCTTATGTATTACATATATAAACATTCACATCTGGGGACAAGATCATCCCTCTACCCCACTTCTCTCCATCTTTGCGGTCTCTGTTTTGTTCGAAACTTAAAACTCAATATATTCCGTGAACCTTTGCCAGGAGTGCTTCTGGCGCAAACCTCAGGTGTGAGGAGCTTGTTTGGACGGGTGCAGCCTGCTTTTTGATCTCGCCTCTTGAGCAAATCTGGAAGAAGAGGAAAGGTTTTGCTTTTTAAAGAACTATCTTTGCATCTCTCCCTCCAGCTTTCTGCAGCTGTGGTTGCAGGGGGTGGGTTTTTTGGGGAGGAGGAATGGGAGAGTACAATGGCATCCTGTAACATTGCCCAGAATTATGTTTTCCCATGGTGCGCAGCCAGGGCGATTTAAGATTTCGGTGGTAGCTCAGGGTTGTTGTTTTTTTCTTTCTTAAACAATGTTCAGCAAATCTGCGTAAAAGAGATGGATGATGTAAAGGAGGCTCTAATGGTGAGGTTGTTTTTTCCACATATGGATGGAGGAACAGCTGGGAATTGGCCACTTCAGATTAATAGCTGGGAGAAGAGGAGGAGGAGAGGAGAAAAGATGAGGAACGATTTCTCTTGGTCCTTTTTTTAATAAAACAAAAGAGAGAGAAAAGTTTGTGTATTTTTTCCTGGCAACAGCCTTCTGCAAAAGATTATGAGGTTACATTGCTGCTTCCTCCTTGGTTCTGATTTTTTTCTTCTCACCAAGCGGTATATTTTATTTTTAACGTTTCTGTGTTCAGCTGCTGCCTCTGCCTTCTTCTCCTCCTCTTCTCGCCCACCTCCAGGCTGTTTTTAACGTCCTTCTGTCCTCCCAGGCACCTTATGGCAATGCTTGTCTTGGAATCATTTGAAACAGTTGGAAGTGGGACCACAAGGACTGCCAAGTCCAGCCCTCTTCCCTGCAGGAATGGAGAACTATGGCTGCATCCACACTGCAGAAATAACCCAGTTTGATGCCACTTTAACTGCCATGGCTCAATGCTATGGAATTATGAGGAGTGGAGTTTGTTGTTGCTGATGCCTCTATAACCCTGGTTTAGCCCCATCCTTCTTCCATCACTTGTAGTTTGCCACATCAATTGACCTTTGCTGCCAACAATGTCTGTGTGATGTATTCCTATTAAGCCCTTACATTCAGGTAGAAAAAAGGATAAACAAGTTATATGGGAAAGCTTCTTCTTGTTGCCTGCCTTGAAGTTGTTTCTGACTTATGGCGATCCTAAGGTGCAGCTATGATGAGGTTTTCTCGGCAAAATTTGTTCAGAAGGGGGTTTGCCATTGCCGTCCCCTGAGGCTGAGAGAGTGTGAGTTGCCCAAGGTCATCCACTGGGTTTCCGTAGCTGAGCAGGGGTTTGAACCCTGGTCTCCAAAGTCATAGTCCAGTGCTCAAACCACAATTCCATGCTGACTCTCATCTGGGAAAGCACACGCTACTTAATAAAGCATGTGAACCTTTTCACACCTTTGCCACAAAACCCAGCAACTTTTTGGCTCCCAAGCTTTATTCGCTTCCCTAGACTTTCTCTCTCTGTTGATGTAGAAATATTGCTGTTTAAATCAGGCTTTTGCCAGCTGCATTAATTTTACTAGTGACCCAGAACCAGAAGGGCAGGTTGGAAAGGCTTTACCCACATGAAAACGGAAGTGAACTGACTTGATTTTTCTCTGGCAAGAACTAAGAGAGCAAATGTGACCTTTGGACAGAAATATAAATAGAGGAAGGCAGGGGCCAGATTGAGGCCTGGCATTGAACAAATGATCTGTTGGGACCACATCTGGATGCCAGCTGTGGTCTTGGAAGAAGATCCTGAAAGACCTGGAGATGGGGACTGAGTTATAAGTCAGTGATTCAAGGCAAAAGTCACAGACTGGCAAAAGGGGACGTGAAGATTAGGACCGGAGAGAAGTTTGGAGAAGATTGAGGGGTGTTGTGATAGCCATCTTTTAAGGATCTGAAGAGATGTCATGTAGAATATGGAGTAAACTGTTTTTCTTCTGTTCTAAACGGTAGGGCACATACCAAAAAATTCAAATGACAAGAAAAGAGTTTCCACCTAAACATTAGGAAGAACATTTTGATTGTCGGAGTTGTTTTGAGAGTGGAATAGACTGCCTCAAAGAGTTGTGGACTCTGCTTCTTTGGAGGTCTAAGCAAAAGTTGGATGGGCATCTTTCAGGTTGTGTATTCCTACATGGCTGGGATTGTGTTAAATGGCCCTCCCTTGTGGTCACTTCTAAATCTAAGACTCTTACGATTCTGCATAGTTCCCATGTTTCCATTCATTCAGAAGAAGGAAGAACTATAATTGCTCTAATGGCCCCAGATGGCTTCCTGACCTTAAATTCAACATAGTCGCTGTTGTATTGGAGGCATGGGACATTTTAAAGACTCTCTTAGAGCTGTCAGGTCCATCCTTCTGCGTTCTCACACAGTTGCAGATGGATAAAGAACTATTAACAGAAAAAAGCCAAAAAGACATTGCTCCTTTTAAAGCACATTGTCAGGCTGCAGTGTGTTTCTCTCCCCCCCCCCCAGTCCCTCCCCTCCCCTCCTCTATTTATGTATTATGTGAATGCTGCTTTTTATGTCAAAACTAGTTACTGAAACCCAGAGCCAAAAAAGGAATTATTTGGCAGGGCTTAGATGAACAGCGTTTAACCCTTTTGCTTCTCCTAGTTTCTCTTCACCCTGACTTAACTTTGCAGCTTTTGTTTCTCTGTTTCAGCATTCCCATGTTGTTGGAGGGTGGCTTTTTCTTAAAGATTTTAAAAACTTGCTCCAAAAAGTAACTACAAGCCATTGAATAACTTTTTGCAAATTGAATCCCCGGAACTGCTACCAAATTTTTCATACTTTTGAGTGCCTGATGGTCATAAAATCCTTGCCTTGGATCCAGCTGCCCTCTACTTCCCCAGCCCATTGGCAGTTTTGTAAAAGGAAAAATACAAACAGAAAGGGGTTAAGGTATAATTTTTGTAAGGACTTAATGTGTGTGAGAGAATCATTGGCTCCAACAGACTGCTTTGAATATTGGCACTTTGGGAACAGTTTTGAATCAGGCAACTTTAGTAGACTCTCCAAACTTGTCCATTTGTTCATTATTATTTTTCCCCTTAAGATATTCCCCTCTCATCCTACCCTTGCCCAGCTTCTGTATTCTGAGAAGAATGCAATCCCTTCCATACAGAGGCTAGTCTTTTCAGCAAGTTTTGGCTACAAAAAGAGCCAACTTTGCATTTCTTAAAAAGATCCACATGTCAAGTAGAGGGCTGGATTTGCTTATGTCCGTGGAGACGAGAGGAGAATCCAGAACAGTAAGTTGGAAGTTGCTCCCAAGTTACTAAGTTCCTTCTCCACTAGTGCCCTTCCAATACTACATAAAGGTTTGGGTATGGGGAGGTGGGCAAAATGAGGGCATTGCCCCCCCATAAGAATACAACTCCTCCCATGGAATTGTCCTTGTTTTCCAAAATTTCTAGCATTACAGATGACTTAAAACTTCAGTTGAGCATTTACATCCCTGGAAAGTCTGTTCTGCTGTTAAAGAGGTCTTAACTGTCAGGAGGTTCTTCCTGTAGTTTAAGTGGAATCTTTTACCTTTTTTGTAATTTAGTCCACTGGTTTGTGTACTAGTTCCTGGAGCAGCAGAAAACAAGTTTGACCTCCCTTCAAGTGTTTAAAGAAGGCTAAATATTAAACTATCTGATGTGAAGGACCTGCCATTCCCCCCTCCTAGTGTGCCTGTTGTTGTTGTTGCCTTCAAGTTATTTCTAACTTATGGTGACCCTGTGGCAAACCTATCATGGGGTTTTCTTGGCAAAATTTGTTCAGAGGAGGTTCACCATTGCCCTCCTCTGGGGCTGAGAGAATGTGACTTGCCCAAGGTCACCCAGCGGGTTTCATGGTCAAACTGGGAATCAAACCCTGGTCTCCAGAGTCATAGTCCAACACTCAAACCACTATACCATTCTGGCCCAGTATGCCAGTACTGATACCATATTGTGCTCTGTGGTTTTCAGTTGTTTCTTTCTTTCCTGGAAAGCATCAAATGGCTTGTGGACCAGCTTTGGCCCACAGACCACCACTTTGAGTAACACTGATGCAGAGGATGACCGATGTAGGGGTCGAAAGGGCTACGTGTTGTCTCCTCTAGGTTTGCAAAGATAGGCTGGGAGCACACGAGTTTATTCATTTCTGTATTATGAGGGGTCTTTGAACAAAAACTCACAGAACCATTGGCATTGTTTTGCAACAGCTCCACTGGTTGCTGGCTTGTTTCCTTGCACACAATTCAGTTTGCCGGTTATGAACTGCTATTGTTGAGTATCTTCAAGTCGTTTCCGATTTACGGCAACCCTAAGGCTATCCTATCATAGGGTTTTCTTGGTTAAGACTTATTCAGAGGTGGTTTGCCATTGCCTTCCTCTGAGGCTGAGAGCATGTGACTTGCCCAAGGACACCCATTGTGTTTCATGGCTGAGTTGGGAATCGAACCCTGGTCTCCAGAGTCATAGTCCAACACTCAAACAAACCACTATGCCACGCTGGCTCTATATTGTTAGTTTAATCATATTTTTAGAATTTTTGTATAATACAAATGTTAATAGTCACATCTGCTTTAACTTTGGTAAAGCTCCTTGAGTCCCACTCTGGAGAAAAGGTGGGATGATGGTAATGATGACAGTGTTCCAGATTGTCCCAAATCATCCTTCTCTGTCGTCCTGAGTCATCCAAAACACAAAGACCTTGTCTGAAATTCTAGGTAATCGGTTCATCGTAAGAAAGCTCCTTCAGTGAATACAGGAGAGACGCAAGTACACCGTTTATCTGAGCTTTGCACCATTTAGAGCAAGGCTTTGATCTTTTCTTTGGCGCGCTTCCTGCGAACAATGGCTGGTTTGTGCCTTGCATTTTTCTTTCCTTTAACTTGTTCTCTCCAGCCGTCCCTTTCCCTCCTCCCCTTCCCTTCTTTCCTTCCATTTTCTAGGATCTGTAACATCTTATTATAAAAAACGTTTTTGTTTTTTTACCCTCTGTCTTCTGGGACGTTTTTGAACAGTCTGAGACGAGACCTGGGACCTGCTGTCTTAATGGAAATGCCTGAGGAATCTGCAATGTTAAACCCTCCTTTCTGCGCTTGTACACAAGGGATGGTCAAACTGTGGCCTATGAGCCACATGTGGCCCTTTTGTAGCCCCTGAAGCCCACCAACCCTCTAAATTCAAACAAAAATACAATTTCCAGGTATGTTTTCTTCCCAAGCAATGCAAGAAGCCCCTCAACATGTGGGAGGACATGAAGACATCCCCACCCCAACAAGAACCCAAATATGTCTGCTTTCCTCTGCAGCCCTTCTCAAAATGGCAGCTGGAAGAGACCTTGTATTCTTCTGGTTGACATTTTGAGAAGGACTGCAGAAAAAAATGGAGATATTGGAGCTTGCTGTGGTGGAATTGCCCTATGGGGGTATCTAGACCTGAAAATTGGTCTCTATTTTCCCTGCAGTTGCCAATCCATGATGTACAGAGTGCTTCCGCCCCCCTCAGCCTATGGAGTGGTCATTTTTACAACTCCTGGGACCTGGCATTTCATTGTACTGAAGAATTATAGTGCCTCTTTATTCTACTTTAATTGCCATGGAGTCCTATGAAATCCTGGGATTGACAGTGTAGGGTGAGGAGCATTTAGAATTCACAACCAGAGAGTTCTAGTGGCTTGGCAGACTACAAATCACAGGATTCCATAGGATGGAACCATGGCAGTTGAAGTGGAATTAATAATAATAATGCTTCTGAGAGCCAGTGTGCCATAGTGGTTTGGGTATTGGGGATCATGGTTTGAATCAGTCACAGAAACCCCCTGGGTGGCCTTGAGCAAGTCACACACTCTCAGCCACAGTGTTGTGAGTTTGATCCTAGGGGCTCTAAGGTTGACTCAGACTTTCGTAGGTCGGTAAAATTAGTCCCCACCTTATTGGGGGCAACTGCCTTACAGATGGTAAACTGCTTAGAGAGTGCTGAATTCACTACTAAGTGGTATAGAAATGCTATTGTTCTCAGCCTCAGAGGAAGGCAATGGTAACCCCTCTTCCTGAACAAATCTTGCCAAGAAAACCCTGTGATAGGTTCTCCTTGTTGTTGTTGTTGCTTGCCTTCAAGTCGTTTTCACTCGAAGGTGACCCTGTCGGGGGTTTTCTTGGCAAGATGTGTTCAGAGGAGGTTGCCATTGCCTTCCGCTGAGACTGAGAGAGTGTGACTTGCCCAAGGTCACCCAGTGGGTTTCACGGCCAAGATGAGAATGAAACCTCCAGAGACATACTCCAATGCTCAAACCATGCTGGGTTCTCCTTAAAGTGGCCATAAATCAGAATGCACAGAAGGAGCATGATAGTCTGAATTGGCCCTGGATAACTGGTGGCGGAGACATTAGTTGACACATACTGTTGAGTTGAGTTTTTCGAGGAAAGATGTGTAGCTGTTCTCCTGAGCCCAGTTTCCTGTTTTGCAAAGGAAGCCCTTGATAAATGAAAGCCTCGGTGGCAAATATTCTCTGCGCTTGGATTCCATCGGCGGCACTTAATCAGCTCCTTTGCTACCTCTTTTGTGCATTGCCCTGATCTAATCCCCTCCAAGCTTTGGGGGAAGGGGAATGAAAATTGATGTTACATAAATGAAACTGTTTAGCGAGCCCCAGATCGAATAGGAAAAGCAAAGCATTTAGAGGTGAAACGGGAATTTTTTGAGGGGAAAAACACCTTCTATCCTGCCTCCAGAACTTGTTGGAGTCACTACAACTCCCAGAAGCCAGTATGGAGGGTATACTAAGAGTTGTCATCCTAAGAATTCAGTTCTTGAGGCTCTTGATATTCCAATTTCTCTTGCCTGTCCTACCATTACAGCCCTCCAATTCCAGTTCATGTATGCAGTGGAGTTCTGGGATTTGCAGTTTGGGGATTCATTGTTGCTTTCTAGCTGGGAATTTTGAGCGCCTCACAAAACTATAAGTTCCAGGACTCCATAGGCTGGAGCCATGGCTGATAAAGTGGAACCATAAGGTCTTTCATTTTTGAGTGTGAAAGAGACCTTTGGACTCCCATCTTTTAACATGATGACAGGCTCATGAGAGACCATTTGCTAGCCTTTTGCTAGCCATTGTGGTCCTGAGAGAAACTTTTAAAACATCCCTCCTTGGCTGCCCAGAAATTATTCTTTGCTTGCCACAGAAGACTAGGCAAACAGTTGTTGATAATATATCAAGAGTTAGCCGTGTTGGCCATGCAGTAAAGTCCAATAACATCCAAAATGCGAAAGAATTTGCAAGCCTGCAGCATGTATTTTGTGCATTTTTGTTGGCCAATAAAGGTATAGCTGTTGATAAGCTGTAAGCATTAGGTCCTTGGTCATGGCCTCCATCTTAACTGCGGGTTATTTTTACCACCGTTCCAGAAAGGAATGGTTCCTTAGCAACTTCCTTTCTTGTCTCTTTTCTCTCTCCCTTCCCAGCCCATCCCCAAATTATTCTTCCTTCCAAAGTTTTGTTTTTCCACCTCCTGATTCTTAAATTTTAGAGAGGAAGAGAGGTGGTCTGTTTGTGTTTTGATTTGGGGGTGGATGGGGCAGATGAAAAGACGACCGAGACCCTCGGTTTCCATAGTCTGTGGGGTGTAGGGACATTTATAGGGTTCATCTGCTCAGAAGAGGGGCAAGGAGCAGAGTTTGTGGGTCTGGCTGGGAAAAGGAGAAATAAAGACTCAATTAGGCAGGCGTCCAGGATTCCCAACAAAATGAGGGGGGGAGAAGGGGGGTTTTGGGGGTGGGAGGAGATTGGGTCTTCTGTCCAAACTTTTGAATGCACGAAGAGATGGGGGGAATGGAAAACAGCGTCGCCTTAAGGCAAGATCTGAGGTTGTGGGCTTCCCACAGTCTCCAGAGGCCTCTGCGGACCCAGAAAGGCCAAAAGGCCTCCGAGAAGAGTTCAGTTCCCACATTGGAGGCTAATAATGGGAAAGGAAGACTCTCCTCTTGCAGCTGAAATGGGAAGCAAAGAATAAAAGATAGCTCCTTCTTCATTCTGCTTCCCCCTATCTCTTGAGCGTTTGCCATCTCCCCCAGAGAAACAAGAAAAAGTTATGCAAAGTCATACCCCTCCAAAAAGGGGGGGAAATATCTCCCCATCCCATCTTTTACAATGCAAGGGATCAGACCTTTGTCTTCAGCTTGCCATAGGAAGAACTTAGACTCTTTTTGCTTTCTCTTTCTTTCAATTTGCATTTTGATATTAAAGAAGAAAATTGCCTAATTTGACCTGTCATTTCATAATAGCTAGCCGATTATTTGACAGTAAAGTAAGATGTAGCATGCATTGTGAAGTATATCTGTAGCCCAAATACCCTGAGGGCATCAGATCCCCTTGATCTTGGAAGCTAAGCAGTGTCAGACCTGGTTAGTATTTGGATGGGGGGCTACAAAGGTATACCAGGTTCTTGTAGACTATATTTAGGAGGACAGCAGTGACAAAGCCACCTCTGAGTGTTCCTCTTGTAAGAAAATCCTAGGAAACTCATGAGGTCAGCTTAAGTCAGTGGTGGCAAGCCTATGGCACGCGTGCCACAGGAGGCACTCAGAACCTTGTCTGTGGGCACGCGTGACACTTTGCAATAAATAAGTGGGTTTTGGGTTGCAGTTTGGGCACTTGATCTCTAAAAGGTTCTCCATCCCTGCCTTAGCTAACAGGTGATTTGAAAGCACAGAACATGTCTATAGGCATAAGCAATGGATTTAATAAATATGTTCCATTTAAACTGGAAACTTTATAGAATTGCATTGGGGAGATAGATACCAGGATGGAGATCTGTCCCTTCCAGTTAGAAAGACTGGAAGATGTCCCTACAACCTTACTTTAATATAATAAAATAAATTTATTTCATTTAGGTTGCAACCTGGTGAGGACAGTAGCCTGTTTTCTATTTATTTTTCTTCCAGGCATTGTGTTCTTCCAGACCAAAGTACAATTTTGAAGACTGATCGATGAAATAAACATCAACTCTCCAAGTTGTCTGCAATAGTCTCCCACTTATTTTTCTGTTGTATGTGTTTACTACACATTGAGCCTGGCACAAGCTTGCACTTTGCAGATGAACAGAGTGCTAATTTGCTCATCTTTTGTCTTCCTTGGCTGGTTGCCTTGTTATTTATTTATTTCATGTATGTGCCACCTTTCTCACAGAGTGGCACCCAAAGCGGCTCCCAGACAGAATCAATTAAAGAACCTTTACAATAAAAAATTAAAAACAAAACCACCCATCAAAGAGTATAAAATTACTTAAAAGTCATGCAAAAGTGAAAAAGAGATAAGCAAAACATCCCAATAAGATGCTACCCTGCTTACAAATGGGAAGCATGTAAAATTTCAGGCAGCAGTATAATGAACTAATAAAGAAGAAAGACCAGACATGGATCATGACGGGTTATAGATTATAGACGCTGGGATTTTAAATCAATGGAAAACTTGCTAATGGAATAGGATGGAGGACGAGGATTTAGTTCAATT